CATCGTTGGATAGAGAATTAAAAACTCCATTCAGTCGTAACAACGTGAGTGAGGAAATTCGAGTAGTTTTCACCCAGAAAGCGAAATTTGAATATCAGACTCTTAGGCGCGAGATTATGCCAAAATTCCATATTTTCCGTCCCGTTTTTGCTCATATCTCGGAGGCAAAATGAGCAAGAACGCTCATTTGGACCTCATTCCAGAGAGAACTAAGTGGCCTTTTTAGAAAGTGAACCAGCGATAAAGAAAAGTTGGCAGCTTTCTCAAAAAAGTCTTGATTTCAAGAAGTTCTAGATTTGCGTGTTTTTTGACTAGATGACGCTGCTTTTTTCGAAGTTTCTCAAGAATCATTTGAGTCACAGAATTCGTTTTGGCATCGTTGGATAGAGTTTTGATCCAGAATGCGAAAATTTGAATATCATACATTGAATTTAGCAGCTTTTACAAATAATTTTTGGCTAGAATTTGGAGCCACTTTTTCTTTTGAGGCTCAACGTATTTTTCCCCATCATTATAATTTTTTATATGGCCGCAATCTTCGTTATTTTCACTTCGAAATTCACTGATTATCAAAATTTTCTGATTAAATTGCCCAGAATGACTTTCTTCAATGAAACTCTTTCACTTTCAAACTTTCAAAAAATATGTCGTTTTTGGGTGACGAGCGGAAGACTTTTACAGTTGCAACTGATCCAAAGTACCGTCAAATAAATATGTTGATTTAAGACTATTTCAATCTGCATTTCATACGTTCGCGCTTACATGTTTCTACACAAAAAAAATCGCTTTAGTTTTAGGCTAAACAAAGATAAATATCCTCAAAAAATGATTAGTGAAACTGAACAAATAGAAGGATTGAAAATGGCCAAACTGACTAGGTAAAAGACCGATTTTTCCAATACGTTCTATATCCTCCTCTGATTTGCGCACATCCTGTATTGAAGATAATTAAATCAGCGTTACAACACATTTTTACATCAAAAGTGCCAATAGTTTTACAAAATCAAAAGCGACTAACAAATTCACCATATTACAGGCAATTGCGTATTTCGCAAACTTCTACTAAAAATTACTATGCTCATTAGTTACCTGCACTGATGATTCAGAAACCGTCTGGTGATTTGTTGCGGTATTTCTTCGTTCCTCAAATACGACAATGTTTTCAGCAATGACTGGCCGGCAGTGGTGCAAACGGCGATAAAAGGCTCCAATTGTTTAAAAAACTCCACCCATTCCAATTGGTCGTGAGTGCAGGTTCCACCACAACTTGCCGGCGCTTGATCTTTGCTCAGATATTGTTTCAAACTCGACTCTTCAGTTAATAGTATGGCCTGAAACAAGGCAAAACTCCACATTAATGATGAAAAATCGGATGAACTTTACCAAAACCTCGTAACCCAGAATTTTGTTGCATACTTCATCATTTGCATATACCGGTTTTAATAGCACATTTTATCAATATTATTATTATGTAAATTGCTTCAGGTACCGTCTGGTGAAATGGAAGTTCTATTTAAATTTAATGATTTGCCATAAGAGATTAAACTGGGACGAAAACCAGATGACATATTCGTAAATACCTATAACTTGGTGGATTTTATAAGATCGTTTGCAGYAAAAATTRTATTAATTGGAAACAAACGCAATGCTTACGTTACGTGCATGTTTCTTTTCATTGTACTGGTTTCTTTGAAAAAACAAACTTTATGCTAATACTAATAAACTGAAATATCCAGTAAATTTTTRATAAATTATAAAAAYATTGTTTTAMAWGAATTGAACTTGTGCACTACATRCATTAAGAGCATTTTCCAAACYACATCGACATAAAAAAAAAAACGCYCCAGAATAGTTGAGAGCACAAGCATAACGTGGATAAATAAATAACATAAAATAATTTATAGRTCTGAACGTWCCATAAAATAGCAARAACTRCTTAATTATAAATAAAAAATAAAAYTTCTTTCCGGACGTGCTCGATGGTAATTTGAWCAAACGTTTATCTGGTATTTGCGRCAMGCGGTCCCACATTTTTYTTCTCATTAATTTKGGGTCTAAACCCGCTCGTCTAATGRACTATATTATTTAAAACCTCTTACTTARCCTAGGTTTTTTACATATTTKTATGCAAAATGTGCTTTTAGTAAACTTTTCAAACACATTTCAACTAGTTCTTATTGTTGCCAATTTATTGACTTGYTGGCAAAAYGGAGAAGCGTAATTCAAACAAATAAAATAGTAAATGAAAATAATTTTTAATTTATCAATGTAGCTCCAAGGTAGAAATCATCTAAAACGATTACCCTCAGCGAATCAAGTAAAGCTCTACTTTCAACATGCCTTCCGCAGCAAAAACTGTTACTCTTCGCGCATAAAATACCAAAACTATTGCGAACACTAACATTGAACTATTTATTATTGTCCAATTAATCGTCTCAATGAAATTCTTAGGCTTTCAGCGTGTAATCTAATTAGCAGTCTTGCTGATTTCTCTTTTATTATAAATTTCACACATGAATGTTTTATAAGGTATTTATTACGTGGGGCCTTAAGGCCATTTTCTTCACTTCCTTTTAAGTATTTTTCTGCTCGATTGTTTAAATGTTCTAATGATGCTTGTGCCAGTAATTTATAACTGATGACCCCTGTTTTATTACTTGCGGCAATTACTTTCGTCGAGTTGTGTTTTTTGAAAAAATATTCTTTGAGTTTGCTTTAAAGAATATTTGGATTTGCACTTGAAAATTCTAATTCATGAAGAAAATTCGATTTAGCGAGCTCTTTCACACTGCTCGAATATAATGCAAATATTTTTTGTTCCAATAAATTGTATTTTTACATATGTTATCTTCAATTTATTACCTTGCTTTGTTGCTAATACAAACAATTTCTCATGTCTTAAGTTCGAAAATATTTACATAAGTAATAAAAGAAACAGTTCCAATTATTAATTTAGTAGTAGCATAAAATTCCGTGTAAAAGCCATAAAACTCTTTGAAGTGGAATGCAATGACCGTACAAATATTTGTGAAAAAAATTTTTTTTCGAACTTGAGATAAAAGCCGAAGTTCAACGCTGAAGCGTGTGTGGAAAAGGTCTCATTTTTATAGACAGTAAGGCAGACTGTAAAGCAAAGAATACATGTTATGTTTTTATAAGGTTAAATTGTTAATCGGCTTTGTTATTATATTTGATTAAAGGTTTCTAGTTTATGGTGCTAAACGCAACAATTAATTACAATTAAAAATATTATAGATGAAAAATATTTGTAATTTTGATTAAATGAAACTAGAAAAAAAGAAAATTCTTTCCTTCGGGATGGTGCTGCTCGTTTCCCCGAATTTGATACTAAACTGCCAGTAACGAATTTTCAGTCAGCAAATCAAGTAGGAGCTTTGCCTCGGTTTAAATTATTTCTTTCTAGTAATTTTATTACACGTATTTGGATAAATTTTCTTCAATTTGTCGTTTACCAAGCATTCTAGTTGTATTTAAACGTTTTTCAAATGGTGAAACCGTGTTGTCAATAGAAGAAGAGCTAAAATAAGTGAGTAGAAATTCGGAAAAAAAGTATCAAAGTTAATGATAATTAAATATAAAATGTTGCCTAGACAGTTTTTACTTAATTCAAGAATGTGCGCCTATGGGTAACTAATGAAGAAATTGAAGAGGAGAAAACCGCGAATAATTTTATTGCGATTAATTTTTTACCTTGTGTAGACTTATCCAGCATCTGGAATTATCGATGTTTGTTGGTCTCTAAAACCCGGAAATTCTCAGGTTTACTGGTTCAATTCACTCAAAAATAGTGCCCGCATTGTCTCTAACTTTTATAACAATTTAAGTGACTACTATAAAAGGGATTTGATGATTCGAACCGTATGGGCCCGGCTTTGCCGGATATGTCAGTCTGAATGGAAGTGAAGTAACTGCCGTGAATTTTAATTTACGTCTGTTAGATGCGGTTATTTTGTCTTTCGTAATCCTGCTGCAATGTAAACAGTGCTTTGATGCCACTCTCCGGCATTTTAAATACGATTGAATATTTTGAAACGATTTTTCCTTAATTAATGGTACCTACCTCAACTTGACTAGCTAGAGTTCGAACTCCTTTGTCGCTCTTAACACCCGGTGTCCAAATTAGAAATCGATTGACTTTGATGCAGTTTCCAAGCAGGCAGACCGATTTGTCCAAAACTTCGATCATTTTGTAGTCTGCCTCATTTTCAGCCAGCAAAAGAACTGTGAAACCTTTTTCTCGGGCTTCAACCCTGCAAACATTTATACACATTTAAATACATTTTTCAACTAGGATGAGAATACCAAATAATCACAAGCTTCTCTTTTAACATTTATACATTTCCTTCTCTGGTGATCTCTTTTAGTTTTAATTCATTTAACTCAGAATTTTGAGGCACTTGCAGATTTTTGTAACAATTAAACGTGAGGCAAGTCTCACATCCATTAAAACGATATATCTATATAAATATACAAAATATGTTTGTTTCGATACAATAAATAAATGAAGCCATATTTTTTCCTTTTTGCTTAAAAACACTAAATGCTTAAATCTTCGACCTCAAAAATAAATAGAAAAAAAATGGTTGTTGCAGTACAGTACAGTTCAATAAATAAGGAAATAAGACAGTCTCTGGAAAAAAGTTCGAGACATTCAACAAAAATGGCTGAATTTGAAGAACAAAACTATCTATTTTGATGCATTTTTTCCAGTTCTATTTCGCTTCTACATTCATTTGAGGAGGCTAATGAATCAAAATAAACTGCAGTAAATATCGTCCAGGCTTTGGAAAAGTGTTATCCATATCCAAATAAAAATATCTGGAAAAACTGCTCAACTTTTAAATCGCGAGCCCCAAAAAGTACATATTAAAATAAATTAAAGGAACACATTTATAAATCCTTGTTACTGAGCAATTACCATTACAATTTCAGTTTCCTTACTTTTAAATTTTTTACTTCTTGAAACTAAATACAACTGATGAAGTTACTTGAATTCTTCTTCCCGATTTTATAGACAATTTAAACACGAAGTTTTAGTTCAAAAACATACGTTTCTAAGCACTGAGCGCTGCGCGCTTCCGACCTCCTGATTTTGATCTAAACGAATCTAATTTGTTCTCAAAATTGGTTTTTTTACGAAAAGTATAACCCGATTGTGATAAAATTAAAAGTAAAATATTTGATTAAAAGATAAATAAAGCTTTGATCATGTGCTTTCAAAAGACATAAAATTCAGTGTGGATTTAACACATTCCGTTAAACTGTTATAAAGTAAAACCTTGTTGTTGCCTAACAGCAGCTGTTCATCTAAGGATTCATATCACTGAAGTAAAATTTTATAACAGCCATGTATTGTCTGAACTAATTTAAGCAACTTCTCACGGTCAAAACAAAGCTTGTTATTACGCTGAAAAAACTGGTTAAATATCGCAAAATGATTTAACACTTTCAGCACTTAATAAGCAACCAAATAGTCTGGCTTTGCAAGGACGCCTGTTAAATACCCAAATATAAGACGGAACCAAAAAAAGTGGCAGAAAAAAATATAATGGAGCTTGAAGAAACATGTTCTCATCATAGTATCTGAAGAAGTGGAACTTACGTGGGTATGGAAGTATAATATAAAAGCAACTTGGCGATTTCATATTTGTTTAAAGCTGCCCTGGAAATGCATTCTGCGTAGCACAGAATTATCGGTCTGCCATCAGTATCTGCAGTGCCTGAAACAAAAAAAAAATGCTATTGAAATTCCAAACACCATCATGCATTTTTCTGCTTTAAACCCAAAAACCTTTAAAGTATGTAAGCTCAGATTTATCTGTAATTGATTAGACAGCATTTTCAATTAGCATAATTTCATCCAGTGCCTGGGTATATTCAATAAATACTACATTATCTATTGGTTGAAGGTTGAATGAACGAGCCTTGTTACTTTACATCTGACGGCATCTGTGCAGGTTCTTTAATTAGAAAATATTCCACAATTGATTAGTTCGTTGATAAACTGTTTTGTGTAGGAGATTCACTTGTTTCGAAGTTCCGAACGGCCCACAGGTACCTCTAACTAACCGCTACTAACTCAAGTCCTTAAATAAATGCAAATAAGTGTATTGGTGGAAGATTTTTATGCATTCGGTAGTTTCAATCATATTTTTTTGCCATATGAACTGAGGAATATTTTGATAAGATTAGGTAGTTGCCTGAAATATTTCCAAAGTCAAAGATTAATTAATACACCAACCCTATAAAGAACTTAGATAACGACAAACACCTAGGTCGATTAATCAAGTGTTAATTAAAGACCTGATGCAAATATTGGCACAATGAGAAATTATCCTCTTTTATTACACCTGACAGATTAATATAAAAAGTTAATTTGCATGAAGATGTCTTTATAAATTATCGTTTCTCGGCCGCTACTTGTGATAATTAGCTCTGCGAAACACAATGGCTTATTAGCCAACGTTACCTATTTCAATAGAATTTAATTGACCATAAATCAATCGCCATTCTAAGATAGGAACAGCACATTGGTAAATGAAATTTCTGAAACATCGGCTGACTGAGATACTCGAAAAATTAGATAATATTTGACTTGAAACTGGTCAATCGTGGCAAATGATGTCTTCCTGATGTTTCGCAAGCTCAATCGGCCTGCGTCTTCAGAGGTGTTTCACTCTAAAGCTTGCGCTGACCGATCATCGACACATCCAACGAAGAAATGATTCGTTTAATTTAAATTGATGTGCATATTATTAATTTTCTCCCAGTAATTCACATCTCAAACATTATTTGAAGCTTCGTTTGTTCGAAAATAAATTTTCAATTATTAATGAGCGGAATCGTGTGAGTTGGTTATTTATGATTCGATTAGTGAATCTAAACAAAATATGAAATACTCTCCAAATAATAACCTTATTTATAGTCCTTTATTCCGTTCAAGGCAGTGATTAATACAGTTTCTTCAATTATTAAATAAAAAATGCATTAACTTAAAATATAAACATCCTCACAGCATTCTGTTTTATAAATATGAAAAATAATTCAATTCAGAGTGGCAGAAAGTTCAATTCAGAGCCGACATTCAGTGGCAAGAAACGGTCTAATTGACAAAATCTTCTATATAAATTACTTTAGATTGTAGTCTGGTGCGACACATTTTAATTTACTCGTCTCTATGTGACTTGTTTCTATTCGATTTTCTTTCAACTGGAAAAATCTGAATGCCTGCCTGCATTTCTTCATCTGGTCTGCTGCATTCAGCTAAATTCGTTTAGGAAACTATAAATTTATTATTTAATTACGAACTTCTTACTTGAATCTTGGGTTAGTAGCGCTCACGATATTAATTAGGTTAGTTGAAGTACAGATAACAAGAGTAACCTTGCAGTTTTTAATGGGGGTCATAAAGTCAAGCGGAAATAGTTTGTAACTGCAAGTGTGTAGATAAATTTTGTAATAAATCGAGACTATTTTCAGTTTTTAAATGCCAACTAGTTGGCTGTCGACAGTAATGAAATTATTTTGAAATACATGGGGAAATTCTTGGTAAAACTTGATGAAGGTTGGCTTAGTAGAAAAAGTGAATTTTGCCTTTGAATTGCTGCGCGTCGTTGAAATGCATTGGAAATGATTTGTAGATCATATGTAAAACCGAAGTTTAAATTTTACGTCAGCAAAAGTTAGTTTTGTAAAAAATGTAATAATTGCATTTTACCGCATAAGATGATGAATCGAGCGTGGAAAGAGAGATATTTCTCCAAATCATGTGAGAGTACAAAAACATTTGTCAATTTCACTCAACCTTAAAAAAACTTTTGATAGGCATTCAAATAGTATCTATATTTTTAATCAGCAAGTACAACTTTAATAATAAGGCCATTTCAGGCTATAAGTTGGTTTCGTTTCAACATTGCCTCTTTGCCAATAAATTTACATTTTTTCACAAATTTGTTCACGTTTTATTAAAAGCTGATGATGGTGATTCCAAATCGCAAATAGCAAATATTTAAGATTATTATTTAACCCGCAGTCTTTAGTTTTTTTCAATGCATACATGTCTTTTTTTTTAATTAATCAACCAATACTCATCAATATCAATAAACAGCTTAATTTTTTTAAATTTTAGAGATGATTAACAAACATTTAATTTCTAACTATTTTATCAATAATTCCTTTCTTCAGGTCGCATGAAGTTGAAGCTTGAAAACCTTGATAATATTTCTGATAATTTCAAATTTCTTGGTGATCTACATGATTTTCAAGTTGAAACTGATCAATATTAATATTCATAGTTTCTTACTAAATAAGGTTAAGAAGAATCAAAAATTAAACACGAACTATTATTGATGATCTAAAAGTGAAAGTAAGATACCTATCTGTAAATGCGTGTACGAACGACTCGATGTGATGATTTTCCAGAAATTGCGACTTTTTTCATTGTAACTAAGTTTTCTAT